CTTTGCTCTAACAAGTCAACAGACAGCTGATTTGACAGTGACAAGAAGGTACTCAAGAAGGGAACAAACATTTCAAAGCACCTACTATGTGCTGGACATTGTGGAAGCACTTCACAGATATTGTCTCATGGGGCAGCTAGGTGGTGCAGTGGATACAGCACCAGCCCTGGAGTCAGGTGAACCTGAGTTCAAATCTGGCCTGAGGCACATAACACTCACTAGCTGTGTGACTCTGGGCAAGTCACTTAAACCCAATCGCCTTACCCAAAAAAAAAAAATCTCATTTGAGAAATAAAAATATAAGAAAATAAGGAAAGTAAATAAAACACAAATAGATTGTAAATTATTGTATATGTACTTCCATTACTTGCCAGTCATTAGGGAAGGGGAAGGAATAAGCATTTAGTAGTGCCTACTACATGCCAGGCACCATTCTGTTGTTACTGTCCAGTCATTTTCAGTTGAGCCCGACTCTTCCTGACCATTTGCCATTTCCTTCTCCAGCTCATTTCACAAATGAGAAAACTGAAGCAAACAGGGTTAAGTGGCTTTCCCAGAGTCACACTGCCAGCAAGTGTTTGAGGCTGGATTTGAACTCAGGTTTACCTAACTCCAGGCCCAGATCTCTATCTACTGCACCACTTGTTCATTCTACAGATGTGGAAACTGAGCTACATAGGGTTAAGTGACTTATGCAAGGTCACACAGCTAGTATGTGAACCCAGATTTGAACTTAGGTCTTCCTGACTCCAGGCCCTGCATTCTATCCACAGGTACCATACTAAGTGCTTTATAGATATTTTCTCACTCCACACTGTATCTGCTGCCTTGTCTGGTTTCAACTTCATGAAACAAAATGCCCTTCCAAGGTTAAGCTCATCACCTCTGATCTCACGGCCATGTGGCTAACAAGTCTTGACTGACACCGCATCCTTCAGCCTCCTCTGATTGAAGGGCTGGTGAGTGAAGCCCCAAACTCCTCCCAATGCCTTCCTTTATAGATCACAGAAACTGGATTTTTTTTTTTTGCATACTCTGCTCTGCATCTGTTGTTCTAACTGGTGTCAACTGCACAGAACAAAATGCTCACAGTCCTGGATACTTATTGATCCCCCCTATATCTCCGGACTCTTTTAGTGTGCTTCTCTCCCCATTAGATTGTAAATTCCTAGAGGGCACAGACTTTCTTTGTATTAATGGTATCCCCAGCACTTAGCACAGTGCACAGAGTAGCTGCTTAATAAATGTTTATTGGATTCTTTTGATTTGACCCTCACAACAACCCTGTGAGTTGAGTGCTATTATTATCACCATTTTACAGATGAGGAGACTGAGGCAAACTGGTTACATGACTTGTCCAAGGTCTAGCAACTACTAAGTCTCTAAGGGCGAGTTTGAACTCAAGTCTTCCTGGCTCCAGTTCCAAGGTTCCATCCACTGCTTCACCTAGCTACCTCAACCCAGTAGATATGTATATTGACTTTAACACAGTAATATCTACATCGGCTTTTTTATTTGCTGGATTCTTTCTGACCTTCTTCTCTGTATATATAATATGATTTTGTTCCTGGTAGTCAACAAAAATTTATTAAGTAATTGTATATACAAGGTCTAATTAACCTATAGATATCTCTGTGGAGGTAAGAAGGAAACATAGATTTTTTTTTTGGCCACTCTTGAAGTGTGACTTCAGGTGTGCATATCTGTTTCAATGGCTTCCTTTTATTTCTTTGTGTTTTTAATTGGGATAGGGATGGACGGAGCTAAGGGAGGCCCAAGGGTAGCAATAATGATGCCAAAAAAAGAGGGTCTTTAAAAAAAAGTATTTACAGAAGAGAAGTTTAGAAAGCAGCACAGATAAATGGGATAGTTTTGAAAGCAACATGTAAAATTTATATATGTATGTATGCATACATATATATACACATGTATATACACATAAGCAAGCAGTATGAAAGGGAGATTCATGGTTTCTTAGGGAATATTCTGCTGTGTGTATTGGAATGTTTTGTGTATGTGTGTATTTTACGGAATTCTATAGAATTTTTTTTCTTAAGAAAGCTGTGGGTGACCTAAAGGGCAATGTTGCTTGTCCTTTGTTCTCAAAGAGACCATGATATCAGGAAGGTGATGCCATTGCAAGTGAATTGGATTTAAGTGTGCAAAGTCACCAGCTTCACCCTCTCCTCTGGAGCCATCTGGTTCCAGTGGCAAGATATAGATCAGGACAACTGGAGATTGCCCTGGATGCAGTGAGACGCCTTGGCCTTTTAAAGCTAAGGTCTTTCCCAGGTCTCAGTTTGACTGAGGCAATACCCACTCAGTGGCAATACCCACTCAGTGATTAAGACTAGGTAAGAAATGAAGCAAAGGGGCAGCTAGGTGGTGCACCAGCCCTGGATTCAGGAGGACCTGAGTTCAAATACAGCCTCAGACACATAACACTTACTAGCTGTGTGACCCTGCGCAAGTCACTTAACCCTATTGCCTAGCTAAAAAGAAAAAAAAAAGAAATGAAGCAAAGAATGGCCTCTTTTACCTAGTCAAAAGGGAAAAAAAATCCATCTAGGAAGGGAAGACCCTCAGGGTTTCTGGTCAAAACAGAAACAATAGCTATTTATACTCACTCTGAGCCATGATGGTCCAAACATTGACCAAGTGAGCCTATTGTTGGCTAATCAATGAGAGCCAGAGTGATTTTGGTTTAAGGCTTGGTCCTTAAGAAAGAAATCCACAAGATATCTTGCCAGGTTTCAGCGATCACAATTTATATTCCTTTGGGCAGAGCACCCACAGGTAAGAGTATGATTCCCAATGTGTACAGAGGAAGAGGAGGGAGGGAGAGAAGAAAAGAGGGAGGGAAGAAAGGATAATAATAAAAATAATTTTAAAAAGTGCACAGGAGATATACAAAGGCTATTATCGGGCATATAAATGGAAAAGAACCAGTGGGCCAGTATAAATGATAGAAACTCATAAGCTCCCTGGGTGTCTACTCTATGCTACAGGGATGGCTGGTTGGGTAGATCCTCCTCCGTAAAATGGGGATAATAATAGCACTACCTCCAATGGTTATTGTGTGGGATATCACTCAAATTAAAAAAAAAACAGAGGTATCCAAGGAGAAACAGAAAGTTAATTTATTATTATTATTTCAGATCTCGAGATTTGGGTGTCCCTCCAACAGTATGGTCTGATGAGGGGAGACAAAGACACAGAAGCAGAGAACCAGATTAAATAGCCCTAACAGGCAAATCCCCCTCCCATTAGCTGTCTGTTACTCAGCTCACAGTCTCAAAACACGAAACTCTACCACAGAACAAAGGGAAATAGTATACATCTCTGTATTTCTTAGTTTGCTGAGATAATGTCAAAGAAGCAATTAAAAAAATGTGTAGTCAAGCTACACATTAGCCAGGTCACCATGACAGAAATATAGGTTATAGATATAGCAACTAAACAGCCTTTAACTACTGATATATGTTGTACTGCAAAAAAGAACCTACAGAAATCTATACTTAACCCTACCTCCTGAACTTACTACCAGATTCAGGATTGTCTTACGCCAAGCTTTAGTTACACTGAGAAGTCTTCACTGGGACATCCCATTCATTATCACGAGGCTCAAATGAGATATTTATAAAGTACTTTGCAAATCTTAAAGTGGTCTATAAATACTAGCTTTTTTATGCAGGTAGATCCTCTGTGGAAGTTTTCTGGGAACACCTACACAAGAGTTCCCCAGGGGAATACGCATGGAAGAGTTGCGGTTTGCACAGCCTTTACCCACATGATGAGATTATATAGAGCCACAAATGTGCTGAAATGTTTCTGGTACAATTCCTTGTATTAGATTGCAAACTCCATGAGGCCAGGGACCTCATTATCTAAACTTAATAAATTTATCTAAACTTTGGACAGCACTCACTGCCTAGCACAAGGCTTTGTACAGAGTAACAAGATCATTGGACTGAATGTACTCTAGACAAGGGATTAAGATAGCCTTTGGTCCATGAACTTTCATTTTTAATAGTTTTATAACTATTTCAATATAATTGGTTTCCTTTGTAATCCTTTGTATTTTATTTTATGAATAGAAAACCATTATTCTGAAGGAATCATAGGCTTCACCAGACTGACTGCCAAAGGAATCCACAGCTAAAAGGCTAAGAACCCCCAAACTTGTGCAACCCAACTGAGATCTAGGGCTATGATGGAGCTTGAAGCTTACTGGCAAGGAACATCTAAGGCGCAGTCAGAGCTTGGAGTGGATCACAGGCTGGGTGTGCTGGTAAATATTTAACAACCAGCTCTCCAGGAAAGAAAAGGGGGAGAAAAGCAGAACACACTCTAAAGTTTAATCTGAATCATTAACACTGCCAACAACATCCTCTCCATCATTTTCTGAAATGCAGACAATCAAGAAAACATTATAACGCTCATGCTGAAAAATGTAACGATTCTCCGGAAGTGGTTCCAGCTGATTCCAGCACTCCCGCCTCCTGCCTTGCTTATGCCAAGGAGACAAGATGGAAATAGAAAAGAGTGGTTTAGGGTCCATTAACAAGTCAGGTCAGAGGTTCTTGTTTGATGCGCATTGACCCAGATTCCCTGTAAGTAGTTATTAATCCCAAACTGGAGCACACTAACATACACTTGCACTTGCTGAGACTTGAACTCGTTGCTGACTTCCACTCCCGCCACCTCTTTCCCCACCTTGCCTCATCTCCGACAGAACTCCAACTCCCGGCATGCCCCGGACCTCCGTGGGTGCGCCCCCATTATTACTCTAACGTTGTTGCCTTCTGGGAAATGTAGTTTCCTTGCCAACTCCGGCAACGTAACCTTTAGTGAGGTGGACTACAACTCCCGTGACCCCTTGCGCGCCCCACCCCGTTCCGCATCATATTAGAAAGCGCCGCGGCGGCCATGTTGGTCTCTACCCTCGCCGTGGCCGGGGCTGGCGCCGGGAGCGCGAGCTTAGTATAGCTGACATCGTGATGCTGGGGTCCCTGGTGTGGAGGAGGACAGCGCCGGCACCGGGGCTCCTCCTGCGGCTCCTTCGGGCCCGGCAGCCCAGCTCCCGCGGGGCCTCCTTGGGCCAGAGCGGGGCTGCCATGGTCCGCTGGGAGGCGCAGTATCCGAGGGCTGCCACCGGGGGGCGGTCTTCGGCGCAGCCTCAGTATCTCGGAGCGGTCTCCTGGCGGAGCGGGGACGGGCAGCCGCAGGGCTTCGGGGCGGCCACGTGGGGGCGTCTTCCCGTCCCCGAAGAAAGCCGCTGGTCGGGCCGCTGGAGCGGAGTCCCGAACGCGGCCGGACTGGGCGTGTGGGCCTTGGCGTCTGCGCTTGTTGCTCATTGCTACAGCAAGAGCCCCGCCAATAAGGGTGATTATCCAGCAGCCTCTGACCTGTCGGGGGGAGGGGGCGGGGGTCCACCGCCTGGCTTCTGGCGCTGGGGCTGGGGGAGGCGAACTTGTCAGAGAGTGAGCTCTCCGTCCCTGCAGGTATTCAAGCAGACTGTCAGGGAGGCTGTCTAGGAAGTAGAAATAGGGGGACGGGGATCCAACTCCCTGGTTTCTGGTGCTTGGGTTTGGGGAGGCGAGAGACCCGGGTTCAAGCCCAGCCTTGTCACCCACAGCACTTTAACGCAGTGCTATGTAGTAGGTTTCTTGTGCCTCCTCAGGGCTGGGGAACCTGCGGCCTTGAGGCTACATGTGGCCCTCTAGGTCCTTGGGCGTGGCCTTTGAGTCCAAGTTTTACAGAACAAATCCTTTCATTAAGGGGATTTGTTCTGTGAAGTTTGGATTCAGTCAAAGGGCTGCACTTGAGGACCTGAAGGGCCACGTGTGGCCTCAAGGCCGAAGGTTCCCCATCCCTGTTCTAGGTATGATAGCAGAGCCTGTCAGGGAGCCCGGAACTGAAGGATGACCTGTTGACCTTTCTGTCTCAGACTTGAGATTAACAACTGTGATGTAGTGGAAAGGCAGAACACCGGCCCAGACATTGACCAGCCCCGTGACTTGAGGCAAGCCCTCAATGTCTCCTATTTTACAGAGTTGTTGTGAGAGAGGCACTTTGTCAATATTGAGGTATGATGGAAATGTGAACTGTTTGTTCTCTAACAGAAGGAAATAGGCCCAGACAGCATTGCTTACACCTTTATCACATTTCCAAATGGTGGCAGAACCAGGACTCCTAATTCCTAGTCCTGTGAATTCCAGTCTTGAAGTTTTTCCAAGAAAGTCTTCCTCCGATACCTCATTGTGTTGTGGTAGTGAACCTAGATTTTGAAAACTGTGCCATTGGAGTGTATATACCCTCTAGATGGCCCTGCAGAGCCTTCAGCTTACTGCTAGCTTAACCATAAAGTGATGGATTTTTCAGCCACAGCAACTCTTAAACTAGATATTCAGATTACATGTTTTGAAATGTATTAGTAGATAGTACCAGCACCGAAATTACAAAATCCCTGAAGAAGTATTGTTAGAGGCAGCCCTGGGGGGCTGAGAGGAAGGACCAGCCACAGCCCTGGCAGTCCCCTGTACCTCCAAGGGACACTGACTCCCAAGAGGCCAAGCCACAGTTACAGAGCTAAATACTTTTTGGCCCCCTTAAGCAAATACTCTTTTTAGCCTCCACGTCGATGTTTAATAAATGGAAGGGTCTAGACCTTCAGGGCAGAGGAGAAAGCACATAGTTCCCCTGCCCCATCACGCCTCAGCTTTGTGTCTTAAATATTAGATTCTCTGACAGTCCTGAGTACCTCTGGTTTCCTGTGATGCACGTCCACCTGCCTTTCTCTGCCTCTGTCCATGGGACATGGGGAAGGCCAGGGCTTTGCCAGTCTGTCTGTAGTTCTTCCATGTTCTACTAGAATCTTTCCTATCCTTCAAGTCTCCATTCACACCTAGTCCTTTCCAGGGAACCTTTTCCAGTTCTTTGAGTCCACAGTGAACGAGATACTAAGCGTGTTGTCCTATCTGATCCTGTTTCTTGTTCTCTAGTATTCTACATGTGTAAGTTCTGTCTCCCCAGCCAGTCTGGGAGCTCCTCCAGGCAGAACTCATTTTTCTTCCTGTTTCCACATCAGGTATAGTTAGCAGGGGGTTAAATCAGTATATATTTATTAAGCATTTGCTCTCTGCTAGGCACTGGTGATGGGAAGACAGAAACCAAAAACGGTCCTTATCCTAAGAGCTAGGTTTGGATTCCAGCTCCTCTATTGACTTGTTACATGGCATCTGTCAAGTTGTTTTTCCTTCCCGTGCCTCAGTTTCTTCATTTGCAAAGTGAAGGTATCAGGAAAAATGGTGGATTTGAGGACCCTTTTTGGAGTCAGTGAACTAAGGTCCTTGTCCTAGCTCTGCTACTTAACTAGCAGTGAGGCCTTGGGCATAGTCCTTTTCCCTTCTCTGGCCCTCAGCATCTTCCTATAAGAGCGGTGGGCAAGATGGTCTCTAGTCCCTTCCAGTTCTAAATCCTGTATGCCTTAGGCTAAATCATCTCGGAGGTCCCAGCAAATAGAAGCTGAAATTCACACTCGTTGATGAGTTGGTTGGGGCAGTTCATCTGATTTTGAAAACCTTTTCAGAGTTCTGCAGTTTCTCCTTTTAGCCACGAGATGGAGCCAGCAGCCCAGTGCCCAGTGCCAGAACCTGTCCAGCTATCGCTAGGGTCCAGCAGAACTGAGTCAGCTCTCAGGTGCTCTGACACTGTGTGGCTCAGGAGTATCCGGGAGAGCCCTAGACTAGGGGCCTGGAGGCCTGAATTCTAGTCTCAGTCACATGATTTGAACAAGTCACTGTCCTCTGTGACATATTCCTCCACTATAAAATAAAGGGGTAGTTCAAAATAGTCTGAAAGAGCCTGTCTAGCCAGCTCGGGCTTTTGCCATCGTGTGCTACCCCTCTAACTTTTGTCTTATTCTGGAAGTTGAAGGGAGGCAGAACAGGAATGGTCCTGATTGGCTTTGAGAAGTGGGCTTAAGGAGCTGGGTCTGGGGACAAGCGTGCACCCCGGCCTGCATTTATAACCTAAGCCCATCCTTGTCTTCCTTCAGAAGCCGCCCTGCTGGAAGCAGCCAGGACCAACAACGTCCAAGAAGTCAGCAGGTAAGAGCCACATATAGCGCTGACCTCACCTAGTCCACCTGAAAAGTGTGTGAACCTATTCAGCATGGGCCAGGTTAGGGTTCCTTGTGGGGAGCAAGTTTATTCTGAAGGGAGTTAAGGAGTCTTGCACTGGGATTGGTCCTTGATCCGAACTAAGCAGCCACGTATTCCCCACAGTGTCCTTCTGTGGAGACAGGAGAGGGGATTTACAGCCAGTGCCTCATCCTCTTGGGGAGGGGAAGTTTTCCCTGAGTGGAGCTGAAAGGCAGCCAAGCCCTGACCAAGACATACTGCTTTGATTCTCATTTTATCTGCAGCGTTAATACTGATTCTCCAGGGTGCTTTTTGGTATTAACACTTGAGGCTTGGGTTTTTGTTTTTTTGTGTTTTTTTTTAATAAGCCACTTTGGAACATAGGGCATGAGAGTGAAGTTTCTTAAGCTAAATAAATATGATTGAGCAGGCATCTAATAAAAGTGCAATGAGGAGTCTCAGAAACCAAGCACAGATGGCAGGTCGCTGTTATCAGAGCCATTTATAATGGTTGGCAGCTTCTGCGGGAGTCTAGGCAAACCAAGTTTGGTTGTGCTTTCCTGTCTTGCCCCAAACAGCTTTTCTCTTTTTGCTCAGTGCTCACCCAAAGACCCTTTTTCCTGCTGATCACCCCATAGGTTCTGTGACTTATTCCGATAGCCTGTCTAAACTTACTTGCTTGTGTTTTGGGTATCCTTACCTGGTTGTGTTACTTTGCAGAATCACAATAGGGCCGGGGCTTACAGCCCTCCAGCACCTGGGAGAGCACCTACACATTCTGTTTTTGCAATTATGCTTTGCAGTCTTACTGAACTATCTCACACTCATCTTCTTACACAAAGAAATAGCTTCTTGAATTCAGCAAACTGTAAGCACCTGATATACGCAAAGCAATCTTTCTTGATGATTCTCAGACACTGTGAAAATAAGTTATTATCCAACATTAGTGTCCTGGTCTGTAAGACAATGAACTCAGAGATTTTTGAAGTATAGGAGACTGTTTGCCTCTGTACTAAATGGGCTCCAAGCAACAGGGCTTTGTGAATTGTATCTCCCTTATTAATAATACTTCTAATAATAATTGAAATTTACGTATATACTTTCACTTCAGTCTGGAACTTACTGTGCTAAACACTGGGAAATACAAAGAGATAAAAGATAGTCCCTGCCCTCTGGGAGCTCACATTCTAACAAAGGAGACAACAAATATGTATAAATAAGCTGTCTACAACATGGATAGGAAATAGTTAACAGAATGAAGGCACTAGAATTAAGAGGGGTTGTTCTTCGGTGGTGTTGGACTCTTCATGACCCCATTTGGGGTTTTCTTGGCAAAGATGCTGGAGTGGTTTGCTGTTTCTTTCTCCAGCTCATTTTACAGATGAGGAAACTGAGGCAAACAGGGTTAAGTGACTTGCCCAGCTAGGGTCACACAGCTAGTAAGTGTCTGAGGCCAGATTTGAACTTAGGAAGATAAATCCTCCCAACTTGAGGCCTAGCACTCCATCCACCTAGTTGCCTGCTAAGAAGGGTTAGGAAAGGCTTTCTGTGGAAGATGAGATTTTAGTTAGGACTTAAAAGAAGCCAGGTGGAGATGAGGAAAGAGAAGGCTCCAGGAATGGAAGACAGCCAGAAAAAATGCCCAGAGCAAAGAGAGTCTTGTTTGTGGAACAGCCAGGAGGCCAGTGTTAGTGGGTCAAAGAATATGTGTTGGGGAGTAAGGTGTCAGAAGACAGGAAAGGTAAGAGGGGACTAGGTTATGAAGGGGTTTGAATGCCAAACAGCCTTTTGTTTTTGAACCTGGAGGTGACAGTGAGATACTGGAGTTTATTGAATAGAGAATTGACAAGGTAGGACCTCATTGGAGCTCACAACAAATCTGTGAAGAAAGCAGTACAGGTATTATGATTTTATAGATGAGGAAACAGACTCAGAGAGATTAGATTCCTTGCCCATGGTCATATAACTTGTCTCAGAAGCAGAAGCTGAAAGAAGGCTTTTCTGGCCATCAGTCTGGAGGTCTGTCCATTATGCCACCCGATTTCCCTATTTGTCCCTTGTTGCCCTCCTCACCTCTCTGGTTTTCTGCTTCCAGTTTGCTGTATGAGCAGGGAAAGGAGATCATCAAACTTGATAAAATTGTATGTAACCAGGAGTAACCAGGCTTTGAGGGGAGGACCTCAAGGGGCTCTTCTTTAATAAAAAATATGGGGGGGGTTAAGAAACTTTGATCAAAAACTGGGTGGATTTTATGACAGCTATTTTGGTTAACTCAGTGGCCTTTTTTAAAAGCCTCTCTCTGCAAAGCGTGGATCCAGGAGGTGTTAATTATAATATTTCACTTTCCAATAACAACTTATGTTTTTGTGGTACTCTTAATGTTTAGAACAACCATGTGAGGTAGATAGGGGAATTACTATTCTCATTTTATAGATGAGGAAACTGAACCTAGAGTGACTGACTTGCCTAGGGTCACACAGCCAGTAAGGGACAGATCAGAGATGTAAATTCAGATCACCTGATGATAAGACCTTAGTCCTCTGTCAAGACACCTTCTTCTGTCTGAAGGGTTTTTGGACCTAGTTTCTCCTTGAATGTCCTCAGTTACATAGCCCTGTGAGAATCAAAGGTTCAGAAACATTGTTCCTGCCCCACGGGAGCTAACGGCTGCTTTGGGGAGACAGGAAGTAGCAGGAGAACTGCTCCAGAACTGATGTGGCTGCACTTGGGCAGTCCCCAAGACTTGAGGACCTGCTGTTGCCTGATCCTCAGGCCCTGCTGGTCTTACAGTATAGGTTGCCTCAGAGGCACGTCCTCTTAAAGTAAGAGGACTAGGCCAGAGTGACCCAACTTCTTACCTGAATTCTGCTCTAGAAATCAGAGCCTGAGTCCCTGAGGTCTCTGAGCTAATTGACAAGCTGGAGGGGACTCTCTTATTTTACATACGGGAAACTGAGGCCCAGAGAGGAGGAAGGGCTAGTTAGTGTCAACCAAGACTAGAAGTCCAGGTCTCTTCACTCCTAGAATAGTACTCTTTCTGTTGTGCCATACTTCTAGCTTTAAAAAGTCTGTTAAGTGTTGCAAAAGCAGGGCGGGAAGGCATGAATAGAGTGTGGTGGATGAAAAGCACTGCAGTGATCGTGAGAGCTGAGACTCAGGGGCTGTCATGCATCTGTGCCGTACAACTTCCCCCCTGGTGAGGCAGGAGGACAGAAAGTACAAGAGGAAGTGGGCCCTGCCTTTGGGGAGCTCTTAACTGAAGTTAGCAGGACAGGCCTCAAACATGCGAAACATTAGCAATAACTCCCCACATGCTTAGCCCTTGACAGAGAGCTTTCAGAGCCATGCTTTTACTTAGTTCTGTGACTGTCCTTATTGTACAGAGAATAAAAAACAGAAGTTTGGAGAAGGCAAAAGATGAAATCTCACAGGATGGAGCCAGGGTTCCATCCTCAGTCTTTTGACTTGGAAGATTCATACTAAAGAATGTCATTGTTGGATAGAGCCTTAGGACTTGTGTCTTCTGATGAAACATATCAGATCTGTGACAGAGCCATGACTGGGGCCCGGATCTCATGGCACCCTTCCATGTCATCAGTTAGAGAATAGCCCAAGACACCTTTTTTAATCTAGGTCTTATTTGTGTAGTACAAGTTGAAAGTACAGTAGGAATTCACAGAAGGTTGGAAGGGGTGGGACCGCAGTGGAGGATCACCGTGGGTCACAGAGGAGGTTTTCTGGAAGAGGAGCTAAGGCCTGAGCTGAATTTTGGAGATGATGTGGAATCTGGAAGGAGAAGCACAAGCACAGACAGGCCCAGTGGACGAGGCCATTGTCTGTAGAGAGACAGGTTCGACAAGAGCGAAATACACAGGAAGGGGTGCTTGGATAGGTTGCCTGCCCAGTTAAGTCCAGGCTCTCTTCATCTCCTGTATTCCCCTCTACACACTCCAGCCTAACTGGGGGATGACTTAACAGTCACCCCAACACACCTTGCTGTTTCCCTCCTCTGTTGACACCATCCCATCAGGTTTTCTTTATCTGCCCTCCCTCCACCGCTCCCCAGCACTCCCCACCTGTTGATAATCCCATTCGTCGACACTTAGCTCAAGTGACTCCTCCTCTAAGAAGTCTGCCTGCTCACCAGTAAGTGCTCTTTCCCTCCCCCCAGGCTCCATAACCCTGTGTCTGCCCTCACTTAGAACCCTGGGCATGTCCTGCATGGTGTTGTCACTGCAGTTGTCACCGTCTCAGTCTAACCCAGTCTGACACTGAACGGCCTTCCCTGGGGCAGAGATCTTCTTAATTTTTGTCTCTTCCCCCAACTCCCCCCGGCCTGCTGAGCACAGGACCCCAAGCAGTAAAATGTATGTTCCTCTAGCTCAGTCGCTCCATCTAACTTGTCCAGAGATTCCATCATCTCAGGCCTGCTTCGCTGGCGCCTCAGCCCTTTCTTTCGTCACAGCCTGGATGGTTTCAGAGCCATCTCCTCTATCCTTACAACTCATTTGGGAGACTCTTCACGCAGCCTGCTGCCCAGGGCCGCATCTTCCATGTCATCTTTCTGAGAAAGGGCGGGATGATTTCTGTACCATAGCACCATACCAACAAGTGTCTTTTAGGAGCGTGATGGGGCTGGGGGGTTCTCTCTGGTTTGAGGATCCCCACCTTTCAGGTCTTCTTTCTTTAGGGCAAATTTGAAAGAGAGAGGAAAAAGGGACATTTTCTAAGTGTTTACTGTATGCCAGGCACTGTGCTTAACGCTGTGGATACAAATGCAAACAAGGCGGCTTACATTGGGGGGGGGGGGGGGAGGCTGCCGTGTAAATGAAGAGCTGGAAGTGAGAAGGGCAGTGTCTGTGGTCAGGCTGTGCCCTGAGGCAGTCACGGTCTGCTTCTGGAAAAGGTAAGGGGAAAGCCCACCTCTCAGAGCCCTGCAGGATCTGGGGGGAAGTAGAGGGGTCTCG